GGTAGCCTACAAAGCCACGATGATACTAAGCTCATATCACTTTTTCGGATTTCTTGAATTAGAAACATCATTATGTACAATGCATTAGATCTTTTCGTGTAAGTTCTTGAGCTACTATCTTGATACGCATGACGTCCGTGAATAGCGTTCAGCTCACCATCTTCTGCAAAAGATTTTAGAACAGATAAAGAAAAGCATCTCCTTTGTAAAGAGGAAGGAACAAGTCCAGGCTCAGCGAATAAAACGAAAATTCACCCTCAAATTCGAATTTCCCGACTTCAGAAATCCTTCGGTTTACTCTGACAATGAATGTTAATAAGTCGTGGCTAGTTAATGAAAAACTAGTAATTAATTAATCAACACTAACCTCGGATTCATGATCCTCGACGTCGATTACCCTACCGGTAATCATTTTCTAGCAACTATCGATCAATTTCATCTTGAGGGTGTGGGTGAGGGTGAGGGTGTGGGTGGGGTGAGGGTATATATGTATAACTGAAACTAAATCTATTTCTATTCCTAAGGGTGCTAGGAATTAGCCACTATAAATATTATAAGTCCAGTTAGGCAGCTACTCAATTTTTTCACCCTCACCCATACCCTCAAAACTCCCGTTACACCCTTCCTGAAAACCAAAAAAGAGAAAATTCCGTAACGTTTGGTCGTGCCCATAAAGTTTCGTATTACTTCAAAGAATTCAACTAGATATCATTTGTAAAATAAAACATCATAAAATAATTTGAAGTCAACTGATAAGAAGGAAAAAAACCATTTGTCATTCGGCCGAATGTGCATAAAAGCAGAGTGAATGATTGAATACTTTCATATATTTTATCTCACTACTTCGAATGTATTTGTTTTAGATCGATTTATTCTAATTTTCATGGCAGAAGATTACTTATCTAATTTACCTGTTGAAATACTTCGGCATATTTTTCAATATTGTGATGCTATAACAATTCTGCATAAAATTGGTTCTGTGTGCAAAAGACTTCGTGCTGTTGCTTATCAATACAATGAAATTAAACTTGAAGTTACTCAAACAAACTATAACGCCTTGAAGACAATTCTTCATGGGATTCCTTCGCATGCAATTACTTCTATGGAGATATCTTACACCATCGATAACACAGAGAAAGCTGTTATAGAATATTTTACATCTCAAATTACTCGATTTACACAAATGCAATACTTGTTATTGCGTTCTGTGAGTAATTATTATATGAAATGTTTTTTACAAGATTTAAATGGTATACAACTAATATCACTTACAATTGATATACGACAAGTACCCAATGAATTTATATATTCTATAATTCCATCCGTAATTTCAAAATTAAATCTTCAAAAATTCTGCTGTACTAGTTTGAATTACAAACTCAAAAATATTTCATGGCCCTCTGACTGTAAATTGACTTATCTAGGAATGAATAGTTGTCTTTACAGTGAATATACTAATATTCTTCAACAATTACCTTATCTAAAAACATTACGATTGAATGAAATTATTTTCGACAATGAGAAGATGTCTGATGTTTCATTTACGTCACGATTAACTTGTCTAACCCTTGAAGATTGTTCATTATCAATAGAACATCTCAAATTACTAGTTTCTAAAACACCTGCAATTCGTAATTTAACACTGGCTTTTCATAATAAGATATTTCAGTCTATGGCTGATATTTACGATTGGGAAACGTTCATTCGAATTCAACTTAATTTTCTCGATAAATTGGAATTTTTTATCTCTTATGAGTATTCATTTGATCATATGATTAACCTTGAGTTATTTGTCGAGCCATTTAAACAATCATTTTGGCTCAATGAAAATCATTGGAATGTTGGGTGTGAATACATATTTGAATACAAAAAGAAGATTCTACTCTATACTATATCAAGTGCTACTCGTTTTCGTCAATATTTATTTTCAACTAATGGAATTCTATTGAAACAGAATAACTATTACATAACTAAACGAGAAAACAAACAACCAATTCATATTGCTCCATGCCATGTAAAGAAAAACGAATGAATTAAAATTCTATTTTCATTGATCTGTTTTAGACACTTGTCGCGCTGAATTTACGTTGGTCATTTGTTAATTTGTTGGGTGTGAAATATTTAATGCATGCATTCAAAAACAATCAAGTAATTC